TGTAGCAATAATAAGTAGTATGGGTTCCTTATATATTGTGGATATTAACCTCCTATCAGATACATGATTTGCAAGTATTTTCTCCATTCCATATTTTCTCCATTTCATTTTGTTGATGGTTTTCTTTATTATGCAGAAGCTTTTCAGTTTGACATAGTCCCACTTATTTTTCCTTTTGTTACCTTTGCTTTTGGTGTCAAACCCAAAAAGATCATTGCTAAGACCAATGACAAGGAGTTTACCGCTATGTTTTCTTCTAGGAATTTTAGGATTTCAGGTCTTACATTCATGTCTTAATTCCATTTTGAGTTTATTTTTGTGTATGGTGTAAGATAGGGTTTCAGTTTCATTCTTTTGCATGTGGCTGTCTAGTTTTTTCCAACATCTTTTATTGAGGAGACTCTGTTTTCCCCATTGTATATTCTGGTTCCTTTATCATAAATTAATCGATATATGTGTGACCTTATTTCTGGGCTATTATGACCCATTGGTCTATGCGTCTGTTTTTATGCCAACACCATACTGCTTGATTACTTTAGCTTTGTAATATTGGTTGCAATTAGGAAATATACTGCCTCTAGCTGTGTTGTTCTTTCTCAAGATTGTCTTGGCTATTCAGGGTCTCTTTTCTGTGGTTCCAGAGAAATTTTTAGGTTGTTTGTTCTGTTTCTGATAAGAGATTGCATTGAATCTGCAGATTGCTTTGAGTAGTATGGACATTTTAACAATATTAATTATTCCAATCTTCAGTTTCATCAGTGTCTTATAGTTTTCAGTATACAAATGTTTCACCTGCTTTATTAAATTTATTCTTAAATACTTTATTTTCTTTGCTGAAATTTCTTCTTTTTGCTGCACTTGTAAATGGGATTATTTCTTAATTTCTCTTTCTGATAGATTGTTGTTGATGTATAAATCACAACTGATTATTGTAGACTGTATTGATTTTATATCCTGCGACTTTACTGAATTTATTCTAACTTTTTTGATGGTGTCTTTAGGGTTTCTATATATAATTTTATCTTCAATTAAAGATGATTTTACATGTTCCTTTCTGTTTTGGATGCCTTTAGCTCTTTTTTTTTTGCCTGATTGCACTGGCTAGGACTTCCTTACTATGTTGAATGAAAGTCATGAGAGTGGGCACCCTTGTTCCTGAACTTGGAAAGGTTTCAGTATTTCACTGTTGAAAATGATTTTTGCTGTGAGCTTGTCATTTATGGTCTTTATTATGTTGAAGTACATTTGCTCTATACTTTTGTGAGAGTTTTTATCATGAAAGGATGTTGAAGTTTGTCAAATGTCTTTTATGTGGCTATAGAAATGATTATATAATATGTTTTTTTCATTTTGTTTAAGTGGAGTATCACATGGATTCACTTGTCGATGTTGAACTGTCCTTGCATCCCTGGAATAAATCTCACTTGATCATAGTGTATGATCCTTTAATGTAGTATTGAATTTAGTTTGCTAATATTTTGTTGAAGATTTTGGCCTCTGTGTTCACGAGGGTTATTCACCTTAATTTTCTTTTCTGGTAGTATCCTTCTCTGATTTTGGTATCATGGTAATGCTGGTCTAGTACACTGAGTTTGGAAGTGTTCTCTCCTCTTCTATTTTTTTAGAAGAATTTGAGGGGGATTGATATGAGTTATTTTTTAGATGTTTGGTAGAATTTGCCTGTAAAGCCATCTGGTCGTGGACTTTTCTCTGTTGGGTAGTTTTCGAATACTGATTAAATCTTCTTATTTGTAATTGGTCTGTTCACATTTTCTATTTCTTCATGATTTAGTCTTGGTAGACTGTATATTTCAAGAAATTATCCATTTGTTTTAGGTTGTTTAGTTTGTGGTCTGTAATTGTTCATAATAGTCTCTTCTGATCTGTTTTGCTTATATGATATCAGTTGTAATGTCTTCTCTTTAATTTCTAATTGAGTCGTCTTCTCTTGATAAGTTTAGCTAACGTGTTTTTCAGTTTTATTTATCTTTTCAAAAAGCCAACTCGGTTTCATTGATCTGTTTCTGGAGATTTATCTTGTGCTTTGGTTTGGAACATATTCCTTTGTGTCTTTATTTTCCTTGAGCCTCTGTTTTTAGATAAAACAGCCAACTTTCCCAGTTTGACAGAATGGTCTCATAGGAGACATACCTCCAGATCAGCCTGGTCCTAGCTCCTAGTTTTCCCTCAGACTTTGTAATTGTCCAAGCCTCTTTGTTTGTTCTTAGTGTCTCCCAGTAATTGAGGGTATGGCAAGACCCATCTGTGTCCTAATGGGGAGGATCACAGTCAGCACCTAGATGGTAGCTGAATAGGAGTATGACCCCAGGGCAGCAGCTGGGGTATGTATGTCATTAAGACCCTTCCAGGGAAAAACTGGGAGATGAGCTTTTTTATTGCCTGATCCTTCTTTTCTAGACCCTGTGTATAGTGTCTGGATGGTGCTCCTGTGCCCATTAAGAACTATTTTTTTTCTTTGTTACATTCCTGGGGGAACCTGTGAATGCAGGCCCTTTGGTTGTTGGAGTCAGGTGATTTGGGGAACCTATTCTTCTGGTGGCTGTCACAAAAGCTGTGGCACAAGATAAGTGTACAAGCTCCTTCTAGGGACATACTAGCAGCTTGGTATTATTATTGGAGTGGGCTGAAGGGACAAACCCCTAAGAGGTGTCTGCAGGCCCTCCTGGTCTTTGGAGAAGACCACAGCCAGCCCCTAGATACCTCCTACATTGGAAACCTTGCCATCAGGCAGCAGCTTCTAAAGTAAGCAGATAAGCCTCTCTTGGGGAAATACTGGGAGGACAGTTTTGCCTGGTTTCTCTGTGCTATCTTGGGGTGATATCCAGTTAAGAATTGTTTTTTTGTTTACTACGATTCTATTGTTTTCACGATTGGAAACCCCTTTGACTATCAGAGCCAGGGGATCCAGTGACCTGTTAAGCTGGGGAACATGTGTGGCTTTAAGCTCCTTCCAGGGAGATACTGGTGATTTGGATTGGGTTGGAAGGAGAAGACAGGAGAAGTACCCTCCAGCTTCCCTGGTCTCTGGAGAGGATTGCAGCCATCCCCGAGTGCCTGCTAGAATTATAAGCCTGGATCTCAGACAGCAGCTTTAATAGTATGCAGATAATCCTTTTGAGGGAAAGATTGGGAGATGGGTGATTTGCCTGCTTCCTACAAGAGTCTGGCATCTCCTGACTCTCTTTGAGTTGGAGATGAACTCAAACCTCAAGGCCAGCTTCAGAAGCTGAATATAAGAGCAGCCAAGGAAATTGAAGTTGGTGGCAGTTGGAAAACTATTATAATTTTTGTTCCTGTTCCAAACTGGAATCTTTCCAGAAAATCCAAGTCTGGCTAGTATGTGAATTGGAGAAAAAGTTCATTGGGAAGCAGGTCTTTATTGCTCAGAGGAGAATTCTGCCTAAGCCACCTCGAAAAAAGCCGTATAAAAAATAAGCAAAAGCTCCCCAGTAGCTGCCCTCTGACAGCCGTATACAATGTGATTCTGGAGGAGTTGGTTTCCCAAGTGAAATTGTGGGCAAGAGAATCCACCTGAAACTGGATGGCAGCCAGCTCATAAAGGTTCATTTGAGTAAAGCCCTGCAGAACAACGTGGAACACAAGGTTAAAACTTTTTTTGGTATGTATAAGAAGCTCACTGGCAAGAATGTTAATTTTGAATTCCCAGAGTTTCAGTTGTAAACAAATGACTAAATAAAAATGTCGTACACACACACGTGTCAATGACCCAAAGAAACAGGAACTGCAGAGCATCTTTTATAGCTTCAGGCAGCAGGATTGAATTTTCAGGGACAGTAATGCCAGTGATGTCAGGGGAGGTGTACGCTACCCAGGAGGGCTCAGTGCTCACTAGTGCCAACAGTGGTGACTATAGAGACTAATTATTGCAGGATTTTCACTGGGACCCCACAGCTTCCTAGACTTCCTTCCCCCGCCCCCCCAGTTGTCAAATCTGCTTCCTCAACTTTTTTGGCAAGTCTATTGATTACCCAGTTTCCTTTCAATAAATTATTTTCTGTTTAACTTAGCCTAGATGCTTCTAATTTCTTGTAACTAATCTTAACTGATATAGTCTCCTTTTTTAGTGCAGGTAATCGAGAGTGACTATATTCAGTAAAACATTTAGACATATAGTATGACTTAGTAGCATTGATTGCCTTAATAATAATTTAAAATGCTCTGTTTAAAAAATTACCTTTGCTTGTAAGTCAGGATCCTTTGTCACTTTCACTGTGGTTTAGTCACTAGTTGGCTGATCTGGCAATTGATCTTGAATTCCTAATTAAAATTTTTAAGGCACATAGGAGTGGGGGTTATGTAGTGTATAGACTTTGGTGAGAGCTATAAGAGTGTCTTGGACAATGGAAAATCAGCCTGGAATAAAGTCACTTGATTGATATGTATATGAAGACTGTATTTAGACTTTGACATGTTTCTCATTCTGAGTTTTATAATGTGGGAACTGCTTATAGAATTGATATTTATTATTTCTTTATAATCTGAATTAATATTATTGCTGGTTCTGACATACTTCTTATATTTTTGAACTTTGAAAAATCACTTTTCTTTCTATTCCCAAGTTTTTATAAGTTTTAAAATGATGGAGAATAAACGAAATTCTAGGGTCCATTCTAGACTTAGTATTTGATGAGTCAATGAAATGTAATTTATTTTCTTTTTCTTTTCTAAAGTTTGAGTATCAGTACTACACTTATGATGCTACTAGATTCTTTGCTCATTGAGCTCAAAATGGTCAATTAAGACATAGTTATTAGGAAATACATTAGAGAACAAGTTGAGTAAGGGCAGAGTCTGGAGGTATTCAGTAACTGTCATATTTGTGTATCAGGGATAGGGAACAGTTTTTCTGCCAAGGGCCATTTGGATATTTATAACATTCACAGGCCATACAAAATTATTAGCTTAAAAACTAGCCTGTTTTATTTGGTCAAACATTTAATTAACTCACTGTTAATATGATGGCTAGGACTGCTGCTCTTTGGTGAGGCCTTGGCAGGGCCAGACCAAATGATACGGCCCTTGGGCCGGACATTCCCCACCCCTGGACTGTAGCTTATGAAAATCATTTGGAAAAATGAACAGCTTTGTGTAGTCACAGTTCACATACTTAGAAAGTAGTATCTGCACTGGTTAAAACTTCAAAATTAGAATTCTTGGGTTTGAATCTGGGCTCTGGCACTTAGTAGTGTGACTGTGGGCAAGTTACTTAACCTCCCTGTGTCTTAGTTTCTTCATCAGTAAAGTGGGGATAAAAATAGAACTTGCCTTATAGAGTTGCTGTGATGATTAAATGAGCTTATACATGTAAAGTATCTCAAATGGTGCAAGACATGATACTCATTAGCAATAATTTTTGTTATTATATAATCTCATATAGCTAAGACACATTGTGTCATTTTACTTAAAATTCTTGCACAGATCTTGAATTTGAGACCTTAGCTTCATGTATGTCCAAAAGATATTTTGTACAGATCTGCTTATATTGTCATGAATGATGAATGTTTTATAGCATTCTGTTATTAATAGAGCAAATATTTTATAACCATTAAATACTATCATTGTGATTCAATGCAGTGTTTGGCACAAAGATCTTAGGTGTGAAGGACATCCATATGACTACTTTTTAAACAAGATATGAGATTTCAAGTGCAAATAACTGATATGTTAATTTAACTGAAGTTGCTCTAATGATAAATTTAACATTTCCTTAGACCCTATATATAGGTTTTGATCTCTGTATTCCCTGTTGATTTTAGTATAATATTAAATACAAAGAAAGGTGAATAAAATAGCAGTGTTGACCAAGAATATTGGTATCAGATGAGACTATTTCCGTGATATATCCTTTCTAATCACTTATTCCTTTTTGCTTATGTTAATTTTATAATCCAGACTTATTTTATGCTTAATTATTTATCATAGCTCTAGAATCTGTTTTATTCTTGGATTTTCTGCCTAACAAAAGTATGTTGAATATTATATAAGTATTTTAAGAACATTTTCATAGTTTCTTTTCAGAAATAATTATCACTACACTTAAAAAATTATTATTTTTTAATATATCTTTATTCATTTCAGAGAGAGGAAAGGAGAGGGAGAGAGAGAGATAGAAACATCAATGATGAGAGAGCCATTGATTGGCTGCCTCCTGCATGCCCCTGACTGGGGATGGAGCCGGCATGTTCCCTGAACCGGGAATCGAGCCCTGATTGCCTGGATCCTAAGTCGATGCTCAATGTCTGAGCCACACCCGGCCAGGCTAAAAAAAACTTTATCACTGCACTTGTTTTTTGAAAACTATGTTTTCATTGATTTCAGAGAGAGGATGGGAGAGGGAGAGAGAGTAACATCGATGATGAGAATCACTGATGGGCTGTGTCCTTCATGCCCCCTGCACATCTCTACTGGGGTGGATTATCAAGCCTGCAACCCAGGCATGTGCTCTTACCTGGAATAAACTGTGACCTCCTGGTTCATAGGTCAACGCCCAACCACTGAGCCATGTAGGCGGGGCTGTCACTGCACTTTTAGTTTTAATTCCAAGTCTTCAATTCTGCTGAAGTGACAGTTGTTCTAGAGACCACTTCTTTAATTGTTAAATTTTTACCCTTCCTCTTTCAGGACCAGGGTTCTGCTCAAGCAGGAAAAGAGAAAGCAAAAGGTAAAGGAAATTGATTCTTATTTGTGTTAGCTTTATGAGAAAAGTGATCTTTTGAAGTGTTTTTTCCCCAGGTTTATAAATTCCTCTAAGTGAAACTGGAAGACCATCTTCCTTTAGTCTTCCCCGTCTTTGTAGATAGCTGGTTTGGCTCAGGCAGAGACTTCAGGATCAGTGTTGATTGATTCTTGTCATTCTAATTCCAAAATGTATCCCAAGCCTGATCACTTCTCACTACCTCTTAGCACCTGATTCAAATCATCATCATTTATTTCCTAGAGTAATATACTGGCCTTATAACCTATATCCTACTTTTTTAAAGTTTTTTTAAAAATTACATTGATTGTATTACATAGTGAAGTTGAGCATGTATCTACCCTACAACTGAGCAGTATATATTGAGAGAAACTCTTCCACATTTGCACTTTGAGACATGTACAAACTTGTTTAGATCATTGTTAAATAGCAGAGAGAGAGAGGAACGGGGAAAGGGAGAGAGGAGGAGAAAGAGAGGAAGGAAAAGGGAAGGGGACCATCCAAATATCCATTAGCAGTAGAATGGTTAAACAAATTGTGGCATACCCAAGTAATGGCACAGGAGTAAAACTATATCAGCTGTGTACCTGTACTTAAAGTAGACTGATCTGAAAAACATGGAGCTGAACAAACAAAGCAACTCACAGAAGAATACAGGCAGTAAGATTCCATTTACAAAAAGGTCCAAAACAGACAAAAATATGTTCAAAGGTAGTAAAATTTAGAGAAAACCAAGGAAATGATTACTATGAAAGCAGGTTAGTTGGTAACTGGGTAAAAAATGATACTTCATAAATTTAGTATTTCCTTGATTACTGATGAGGCTGACTGTTTTCATTCAGGTTTCCTCTTGTGAACGTCTTTTCAAAGTATTTTGTTCACTTTTTATTTGGGTTGTTTGTCTTTTTTCTTATTGTGACTTTATATATTTAGGACTTCTTTGTCAGTCATGTGTACTCCATGGCTTTTATTTTTACTTAATGCTGTTTTTGAAGGAAAGTTCTTAAGTTTAATTAGTCGAGGTTACCAACTTTTTCTGCTTTATCTTTTACACCTTTGTAGCCTGTTCACACAGTGGTTAGTATGATTTTTTAAAAGCACAAACCACAATTTATCGCTCCTTGGCTTAAAAGCCTCAATTGCTTTTCATTGCTTTTCATTGCTTTTAGAGAGTAAAATCTGATTTAACTATAGCCTACAAGGACCTGAAGAATCTGCACCCTGTCTGCTTCTCTGACCTCATTTCTTACCACTTGCCCTATTGTTCATTGTATTTCAGTCACACTGCCCTCTTTCTGTTAACTCTTCTTCTATAATATTCTCCCTTGAGATATTTGCATGTGTGCCTTGTCAACAGTTGTTTCTCAGCTAAAATATTTCCTCTTAGAATGACTTTCTCTAATCACTACATCTCAATAGCTTCCCACCCTCCAGTACCCATTCTCTTGTACCCTCTTTTATTCATCGCTCTTTTCATAATCTGGCATTTTCTTACAATTTTTTTACTCTGTTCTCCCCACTCCATTAATGAGAACAGGGTTCTTACTACTTTTGTTCATTCTGTATTTCCTATGCCCAGAACTGTGTCTAGCAGTAACACAGGCACTCACTCAATAATAAATATACTATGAATGTAATCTGTCCCCAGACTATTTAAAAAAAAATAATTTTACTCTATTTGGATCATTCTTTTGAATATTTATAAGAAAGGGAAAGACAGATGGCCCTTTTCCCAAGTGTTGTTCTCTAGTTGTGTCACTTTCCTGTTTGAAAATTTCATACCTTCCTTTGCCTCCCCAGACCTCTTCCCCCAACCCTATTCTTTATCCCTTCATACTCATTAGATGACCTTGTATCATATTTCAGAGGAGATAGCAGCTATTGGATGAGACTTATCTCAATTTCTACAACCAGTTCTGTAAACCAACTCATATCTTTACCCATCTTCTCTTTCCCTCCTTTAACTATAGAAGTAGTTTCCTTTTGTCAAAGGAAGGTCTCTCTACCTGTGATCTGGATTCCATTTATTTCTGCTTTTCACAGACCTCTGTTACTTCTTCCCTTTCTTGTGTCTTCTACCACTCCCTGTCAACTGGAGGCTTTCTATTGGTATTTCAGTTCTCTCCTATTAAAACAAGTAAAGCCCTCTCTGGATCCTTTCTCTTTCTTGCTATGCACCTTCATTCGTATCTCCCATTTGCTTGTCAGTCCACTCCGCTATACAGCTCTTGCTAATGTCAAAATTGAATTTTGTGTTGTTCCATTTCAAAGATATTTTTCAGTCCAATTTACTTTAAGATGCCATCATGTCTTGCACAGTTTGTCATTCCTTTATTTTTATGATACAAAGAACTTCATTTAACATTTCATGAAGTGAACAGTCTCCACTTGGAGAACTGCCTATTTCCTTCATTTTGAAGCATGTTTTCCCCTTGTTTCCTTTGACCCATTCTCCATATTTTATTTCTGTTTCCTCAGCTGCTCCTGTTAGATGGCTATTTTCACATTAAAATTTGATTACTTATTTTCTAATTATTTTCTACTTATCTCTACCAAATGAAAATTGATAGAAAAATTAAGCCTAACCTTATCGGGTAAAAGAGTCATATACCTTTGTTCTTTCTAGGAATGCAAACATTAGAGGCTATCATCATGGCTAGGTCTAAGGATCCAATCTCTTCAGAAGTGTTTCCTGGAGTACATAACCTTTGTACTGTTTTTCCTTATTCCTAGAATCTTATACATATTCCCATTCTCTGGATAAATCTGACACATCCATCTATCTTGGAAATAATTTCCTAAGAAACCTTCACTCTCCTCCAGCCCTCCCTCTGACTACTCTCACCCCACCTAACCCTAGTTTACATATCCTTCTTGAAGATCCTGTACCATCTCCTATCATACTTGGAATTAACATCTGAATTTCAAGACACTATCAATTATAATAGCCATAGTTATTTTTTCAAGAGGGGAGATATTTACATCCTGAAGATCCTGTCAGTTCATTGCTGAACTATATAGTGTGATATTTTTAAAGACATTTAAATCCAAGTTGGGGTTGAAAATCACTCAAATGAAATATAAACAGATACTTTTTATCTACGGTTAATTTTGCATAACAACATGACATTTACTTTTTTTTTGATAGCTAGCAAGTCTCTTACAGGTCTTACAAGTATTTTACAACCTTAAAAATCTATTATAATCAACAATATTCTGAAATGTTAATGTGGAAGAGCCTTAACTTCTTGAAAAAGCAATACTTCCTTTTACATTAAATTTTTTGCCATCTTGGGCTTTTCTTTCTTTTGATATCTCACATTTATAATCCATGTTTATGGCATCGTATTGTGAGCTATTTAATAGAAGAGAAGATGTCACAATTTGTATTTTAGTATCTAATATGTAATAGTTACTCAGTAAATGAATTTTAAACAAATACATGCCTTTAAACTCAGTATGTCAAGGACGTAATCTGAAAGAAAAAGAATGAAGATAAGAATAATTATAGTTCCAACAACCAAGAAAAAAATAGTGAAAAATGATAATTATGTGCAAGTCTGGTTTAAAAAAATCTTTAAGTCATGGAGGAATAACAAAGGGAACTACATTGGCTTTGGCTGAAGATTAGTTCTCATATGGCTTCTTTTTCTCTCCATTACAGTTGACTATTAATAATGGTCCTCAGCTGTGCATGTCTTTAAGGCTTTTTATATCTGTAGGATAACGTACCTTGTAGAAAACCAAGTTTTTAGTCTATTAGATTTGTTCTATCAGATATTTAAAACACTTCCTACATTCATATAATTTTTACTCTTTTGATACCTGGGAATGGCTTTATAAAGCTGTTTTAAAGACATTACATTTAACAACAGAAAGATTATAATTGGTTATGAAACTTAGAGTCTTTAGGCAAATTATAAGTCATCATGTTTGAATTTAATTTATATGTAAACATATAATAGGAATGTCACAAAAATATAAAAATATCAACTAAATTATTTAATAGCATTATTGCCTTTTGTTATTTTTCTTCCTGAAACCTTATGATTGCTGCAATAACTTTTTAATTCTTTTAGGAATATTTTGAAAAGAAAAGATTCAAGTCAAAAATGAAATTACTGGGAGTTTTATCCCCTGTCAAAAATTCCTCTGTCAGTTTAGACCTCCTTAACCTGTATGTGGTAAATCAGATCTCTTGCCAGAAGAAAACACCTGGTAAGTAATTCTAAATAGCATTTTCTTTCGACTCTGATATGACCATAGCATTTGGTTTTGTAATAAGTTTGTAATTTTAGAGCTCAAACGATGTGGAAAGTAAACTAATTTTAAAACTTGGTTGTTTTCTTGAATTAGAAGCCTTGTTAATTTTTACTTAAAATCTTCTCTTGCTTAATCCATTGTTAGATTTTATGTTATGTAAAATCAATCTTACAAGGTATGGTTATTATTTTCAGTTTCAGTTATTCTATCTAAGCAGATGGTTACCAACATTTAGCTAAAGGGCAGGGAATATCTTACTATCTTATGCTATTCAGAGAATTTGTTTGAAAGGAATAGCTGAAAAGATTTTTGCCTCAGTGATTAGTTTCCTGTCTCACATCTTGAGTAATTTCTTATATATTCCTGAGATGTTAACTATAGCAGTCTCATAGTTCAAATTCAAAATAAAGTTCATTTTGGCCTGCACTTTGATTTTTCAAGTAAATAAAAAGTTTAGTCAGAGTATTTTTTTTCTCTCTTAAGGGAACTTGTGTCTGGTACTTAATTTTTAAAATAAGTTCTAAAATGAGAGCTTAAGAAATATGACAGTTCATAAAAGAGGGATAGAAATTGATCATAGTATTGTTAGTATCTTGTCTTTTCCCTTCTCTGCCATTTTAGTTTCTCCTTCCACAGATGACAGTTTACACAAGTACATTTAGTTGTACCTTATTAAATACATTATTCATACCTTAGGAATAAAAGATTTTGTAAATCTGTTTGATGTATTTACTTTTCCCCCCTTCACTTACAAAATACAGTGTTATCAACTATAGTTACCACATTTTATATTAGATCTTTAGACCTTATTTAGCTTATAGGTGAAAGTTTGTACCCTTTTATCAACTCTCCATATTTCCCCTACTCCCCAGTCCCCAGCCCCTGGCAACCACTTTTTTATTCTTCATATTTGACTTTTAATTTTTAAAAATTTTTTATTTTTCATAGAGAAGTGATAACATGTAGTATTTGTCTTTCTCTATCTGGTTTATTTAATTTAGCACAATGCAATCAAGGGCCATCCATGTTGTCACAAATGGAACGATTTCTTCCTTTTTCATGGTTGAAGAATATTCCATTGTGTGTGTATATATATACACACACACCACATCTTTATTCATTCATCCCTTGTTGGACACCGAGGTTGTTTTCATATCTTGGCTATTGTGAATAATGTTGCAGTAAATATGGGAGTGCAAATATCTTTTCAACATTCTGTTTTCATTACCGTTGGATATATACCCACAAGTGGGATTACTGAATCATATGGTAATTCTACTTTTAATTTTTTGAGGAACCTCTGTACTGTCCTTCATAGTGGCTGTACCAGTTTACATTCCCACCAAAAGTGCACAAGGGTTGCCTTTTCTCCATATTCTTGCCAACACTTGTTATCGCTAGCATTTTTTATGGTAGTCATTCTAACAGGTATGAGGTGATATCTTGTGGTTTTGATTTGCATTTCCCCCAAGGATTAGTGATAGTGAGCACCTTTTCATGTTAGTGTTGGCCATTTGTATGTCTTATTTGGAAAATGTCTTTTCAGTTCCTCTGCCCATTTTTAATATTAGATTGCTTATTTTTTGCTAGTAAATTATATGAATTCTTTATATATATTATTTTGGATATTAACCCCTTATTAAATACATGATTTACAAATATTTTCCCCCCATTTCATAGGTTCCCTTTTTATTTTGTTGATGGTTTCCTTTTCTGTGCAGAAACTTTTTAGTTTGATGTAGTCCCACTTGTTTATTTTTGCTTTTGTTGCTTTTGCTTTTGGTGCCATGTCCAAAAATTATTACCAAGACTGATCTTAAGGAGCTTACCCCGTATGTTTTCTTCTAGGAGTTTTGTGGCCTCAGGTCTAACTTTCAAGTCTTTAATCCACTTCAAGTTCCAGTTTCTTTTGGATATGGCTGTCCAGTGATGCATTTACTTTTATATATTTTCTTTCTCCCCTACTTTCTTTTCATTCATACATTCAGCATATGTTTATTGAATACCTACCATAAGTTTTATATTGGATGCTGGGAATAGAACAAAATGTGATGGGGTCAGATGTGCTACCCAGATTTATGGTACCTTGACATATTAAGTATTTTAAGCTAAAGAAATTTGAGAAGCAGGATGTGCAAGGTAGGATTCTCACGTGAGAGGTGCTTTCCCTAAACACAGAGGATCTTTATCTCTGAGACAGAGGGACATGGAGAGAAATCTAGATGAACAGGTATTGCTGTTTTCCCCAGTTTACTACACTTAGCTCATACCCTTTTTGTCCTATCACTTTTTCCCATGAATTTCCACTCTTCATCAAACTTAGCATGAAAATGCTCAGGTTTAACCCCTTCTTTGGGTTTTAATTTCCTTATAAAGTTTTTCACATAAAACTTTGTATTGAATACATTTCTCTTATTAATCTATCTTTTGTTATAGAGAATTTAGAAGAGTAAAGGAAAACGATATTTTTCCTCCCCAATAAAAAACAAAATTTTATTAGTCAGGACTCATGACTGCAAATGATAGAATTTTAAAAAATATATATTTACTTAATGTTATGGACTAAATGTTTGTGTCCCCCTTCCCCAAATTCATATGTTAAAACCCTAACCCCCAATGTCATGGAATTAGGAAGTGGGGTCTTTAGGAGGTGATTAAGTTATGAGGGTGGAGCCCTCATCAATGGAATTAGTGCCCTTATCAAAGAGACTCCAGAGAGCTCTCCTGTACCTTCCACCATGTGAGGACACAGCAGGAAGATGGCTATCTATGAATTGGAAGCAGGCTATCAGACAGTGAATCTGGCAGCACCTTTATATTGGACTGCTTAGCCTCCAGACTGATAAATTTTTGTTGTTCATAACCCACCCAGTCTATGATATTGTTACAGCAGCCTGAGTGGATTAAGATGTTTAACTAAAAGGAAGCGTAATGGTGCAGCTGGGCCTCAAAGACTGCTTGAATTAGAGACTTTAATGCCATGAAGAGTCTCAGTTAAGATAATAGCTTTAGGCCTGGCTGGCATGGCTCAGCAGTTGAGCACTGACCTATGATCCAGAAGATTGTGGTTTGATTCCTGGTCAGGGCACATGCCTGGGTTGTGGCCTTAATACCTAGTGGGGGGCATGCAGGAGGCAGCGGATCAATGACTCATGATTGATGTTTCTCTCTCTCTCCCCGTCCTTTCCTCTCTCTGAAATCAGTAAAGACATTAAAAAAAAAAGATATTAGCTTTATTCTCTCAGACTGTCTTCATTACTGAGCTTAAAATGTGACCTTAAAGAACTAATATTGCTCACCTTTTAGTTTTGCCACTAGGGAAATACTGAGAGTTGTTTCTCTGCTTCTGAATTTTTAAATTCCGCTGGAAGGATATTGCTTTGCCCTGTTGTAACTGCACTGGAACAGTTACTTGATACCAGAGGGATGTGATATTACTCATCTTGGGTCAGATAGCTAACCTTAACCCAGTTATTTTTCCAGAGAGGTAGGATTTTATAAGAAGATAGAAAGTTTCTTCTAGAACTATATAGTCTGTGTATGTATAAAAAGCATTTTCCAGAACAAGAGAGTAGTTAAAAGTACTGAGCAGACAAAATAGTGAGTCTTTTATAAGGAGAGACAAGGCTTCTGCTTCTATAAAGTTTAAAAATCTAGTGAGAGATATAGAGTTAATCAAATACAGTAAAGTGTGGTAAGTGCTATAATAGAGAACATATGTATTGCCATGATAGTATATAACTCTGCATTTCATATAGCTTGGGGTCATAGAAGGTTTAGAGGAAAAAAAAGAACTGAATTAGTAGAGCCCCTTCTATGAGGTGTATGTAAAATGAAGAAAAAGAGGATTTGAATTATCTGTGATAGTACTGTAATGACTTTTTCTTATAGAATATAGATGGTTTTTAGTAAATTTCTAAGATGTACACTTATTTAATGAACATGGTATATCAAACAATGCTTTTAAAAGATTTCATTATCCATTTTTATTTTTAAATTATAATTTTTTTGTTGTTACAGAAACTTTGAGAAAACCAGTTCATGTGAATATGAATAGAGACGTAAAAATGCCCCTAAAAAAGCATGATTTAGAACTTCCAATGTCGCCTCCCCGTGTACCATCAAAGCTCTGCATTGATGATATAGAAAGCAAGTAGGTTTTGGATAGGTTATATATTATTAGATATTTAAATGGATTGTTGACACTGTTTTATTCATTGAAAATATACAAAGGGCTTATTCTTCTATTTCCAGTTTTTGTTCTGCTGTATTATTAAGCTATTAAGACCATTGTCAAATGACCTAATGTTCATACTAAGTGTTTTGTATGCATAGTTTGACTTTCCTTATCATACAAATGTCTCTCTAGTAATAGTATAATTTTTATAAAACTCAGTATGTCTCTGGAATGATTTAATTAAAGTTTCATATGTTTTTGTGTATTTGTATAGAACAGTATGAATTTTAAAACATATACAAAAAGATAGTCAATTTTATTGCCATGTCTATTTTTAATCTCAAAATTTTATTTTCATTAGTATACACTGTCAAAGACTAGGCAGCAAGGAAGAACTTGGCCTGGTTCAGGTGAGAATTAAAAAAAAAAATTATAAGTTATTTTAACAATTGTGGCATGCTACTAGATAATATAACTTTTTTTTAATATTGGGAAAAATTTTTATAGTCTTTAAAATTATTCTTTTAAAAGTTTTAATGTAAGGAATCTATACCATAAAATATTTTAGCTGACTGCTTATGAGAAACCCTTTGGAGTTCTGGTAATGTAGACTGGGCCTATATGTGCATAACATTTGGTTCTGCTTGTTACTGATGAATTGGAAAGGATAATTCATTTGGGGATTCCTACTTTGGGTTCATGTAATTATCGGGCAATTTATCTCTTCAGGTATAGCGACCAGATTGTTTTATATCAAATTGTGATTTCAAAATTCACATTGATCCCAGATTATTTTTTTGGAAGTATTGTAAATGCTTTTTCTTCTTTCAGCAAATAATATTTTAATCAATTAGAACATCCATAGATTGTGATTAAAGCCTGAAATTTTAAGGTCTAATACCGTATTACCCTTTCCTTTTTTTGAATTGCCAAAGTTAAACTACATCGAAAAGATAATAGCAATAATACTAAAATCTCTTGGAAATCTTTTTACCTGAATATGGGTTAATGAAACACAGATTTCCTGTCATTAGGAGATGACAAGGAATGGAGCTTTAGGATAGAGGGGACCGAGGGTAAGAAAGACAGATGGAAAGGAGCTCTTAAGTGCACGCTTAGATGATAACTCCTCTTGTCTTAAAAGGTCCTGTCAATTACTGATGACTTGCCTTCCTTGGGACTTTTTCTGCAACACATGCATGACCTACTCACTTCTATTTTGACTTTTGTCTTCTCTAGTTTATATATTTTGGAAATTCACAATTGTATCTTCTTTCCTATAGTCGTCACAAGTCATGGATTCATACAGAATTTTCGAACCTCAGTTCAACAGAATAGAAAACTGCAGTTTCACTCCATCATATTTTTCTGCAGAATTATCTTCTAACAGAAATATTAAAAAACAAAGTTTCATCCCAAGAATAGCACCTAGTCCTCAGAAAGTTGCATATGAAAAAAAAGAGAATGAGCAGGTATCTTTGAATCATTAGTTCTTAGTATTATATATCATTATATTTTTTATAGTATTCTTTCTTTTATAAATTAAAAAAATATTACTTGTGAATTGCTATAGATATAGCCAAATTAGGAGATAAAAATAAGTATAATATATTCTATAGGACGAAAGCTTAATTATCTTTACTTGTGGAAGATTATGAATCCAGAAACTGGAATGTTCTTTAAAAATCTTTGAAATTATCATCCTGTTAAAAATTGTTGATAGTGAAATTGAAAATAGTTCATTGTGTTTTATAATAGCTAATGATTGTAATCACAGTAATTGACTATTTGGTATGGAAAGGTCCGGTGAGTAGCAGTACATAATTTCAGTATGTCTTGGTTAAAGTATGAATTATGACAACTTGATTCTTTTTATGATTTGACAAATGAGAACTGGCTAAATACATGTTAATTAAAACTATACAAATAGGAATTCTTGCTAATAATGGAAGACTGACAGTATGCCTCGATATTTTGAGAGGACTATTTATATATGTAAAGCTCATCAATAGAGGTCAGGAGGAAAGAAAAGAATCAGCTACAAAAGAAATTATCTCCTGGAGAAGAATTTGGAGTACCCTCCTTGGATTCAGACAAATCTTCCCCTATCAAATCTCCTACTTCATGAGGGCAAGAAGACCAGCAAGTCCAGCAAGGAGGGCCATGATTTCTTTTGACAGCACCAAACTACTATGTGCCATAATGAAGAGTAAGAGTGGGTAACTAAGGCTTATAGAAAAAAATACCCAGGTTTTCAAGATAGCAGCAGAGTAGGTGAATCTTTTTTGCACCTCCTACCAGAACCAAACTGGAAATAAAACTAAACTGGGGAACATTCACCCTGAATTACCAACTGAAGACTAGCTGAAGAGGACACAAGGGCAGAAACCGCCTCAAGACTGTACCTGTACAACAGCTTTGCATAATGTGGTCGGGGTTGAGCCTCAGACTCAGCCAGCCTAGGAGGGAATCCCATCCACCAATGGGACGACAATAATCAAGACCCAGTTACAACAAGAGAGCCCAAATAACCCACATTCCTAATGCATCCAGGCTCTGGAGATCAAAAGACTGCACTGCTGTGACCCACAGACACTTACTACATAAGACCACCCCGCAAAGACTAGGAAGTCATAGCAGCTCTATCTAGCACATAGAAACAAACAAAAAGACCGCTAAAATAGGGAGACAAAACAACTGCTAAATGAAAGAAAAGAAGATATCTCTAGAAAAAGAGCTAAGTGAAATGGAGGGAAGCAATTTATCAGATGTAGAATTCAGAGTAATGGTTATAAAAATGCTCAAGGAACTTACAACTACAAGGAACTTAATGGGAAATTAAAGAAACTTAGAACATTAGAATGAAGAAGGACAGAAACCATGAATAAGAATCAGTTGGAAATGAACAAATACCACATCTGACATCAGGAATAACTGGAAGGAATTAAAAATAGTCTGGATGAAGAAGAAGATCGAATCAGCAATTTAGAAGACAAGGTAGAAAAAACACCCAATCAGAGCAACAAAAAGGAAAAAGAATGAAAAAGAAATGAATTGGTGACGGATGATGATTTGACTTTGGGTGGTGTGTGTACAGTACAATAGAGAGAACTTATAACATACAAATCCACACCTGAATCCTATATGATCCTATTAACCTGTTATCACCCAAATGTAATTTAAAAAAAAAGAAAAAAATGATAGTTTAAGGGAACTTTGGGACAAAATGAAACATAGCTATCTGCATTATAGTGGTACCAGAAGGAGAAGGAAGTGAGCAACGGATAGAAAATCTGTTTGAAGAAATAATGACAGAAAACTTTCCTAACCTGGTTACAGAAAAAGTCACACAAATTCAGGAAGCACAGAGAGTCCCAAACAAGATGAACCCAAAGACACCCACACCAAGACACATTATAATTAAAATGGCAAAGGTTAAAGACAAAGAGACAATCTTAAAGGCAGCAAGAGAGAAACAGTTACCTACCAGGGAGTTCCCATAAGCTGTCGGCTGATTTTTAACAGAAACTCTCAGGTCAAAAGGGATTGGCATGAAATATTCAAAGTCATAAAAAGCAAGGACCTGAAAACAAGACTATCCAACAAGGCTATCATTTAAAATTGAAGGTGAGATAAAGAGCTTCCCAGACAGAGTTCATTACCACCAAACCAGCATTGCAAGAAATGTTAAAGGAATTGCTTTAAGAAGAAGAAGAGAGAGGAACATAGGTATAAAGGAAAAAAATGGCAATAAATAAGCACCAATCAATAATAACCTTAAAGTAAATGGATTAAATGCTCCAATCAGAAGACATGGGGTAGCTGAATGGATAAGAACAATCACCCATATATGTACTGTTTACAAGAGACCCATCTCAGAATAAAAGATTCACACAGACTGAAAGTGAAAGGATGGAAAAAAATATCCCATGCAAATGGGAACGATAAAAAAGCTGGGGTAGCATTACTCATATCTGACAACATGCGCTTCAAAAGAAAGGCCCTAACAAGAGACAAAGATGGTCACTACATAATACTCTAGTACTAAAGGGATTGATCCAATAAGAGGCCATAAACGTACTAAACATATATGAACCCAATATAGGAGCACCTAAGTATATTTAAAAAACCAACTCTTAGCAGACTGTAAGAGAGAGATTGGCAGCAGTACAGTCAGAGTAGGGGACTTCAACACCCCACTGACATCACTGGCTAGATCTTGCAGACAAAATCAACAAGGAAACAGGGACTTTAAATGACACAGTAGATCAGATGGATTTAATTGGTATTTATAGAACATTTGATCCCAAAGCAGCAGAATATACATCCTTCTCAAGTGCACATGAAACATTTTCAAGGATAGCCCACATTAGGACACAAAATAAGTCTTAATAAATTCAAGAAGATTGATATCATACCAAGCATCATCTCTGATCACAATGGCATGAAACCAGAAATGAACTACAATAAAAAAGCTCAGAAACACTCAGACACATGGAGGCAAAGTAGCATGTTGCCAGTGAGATCAAGTAAGAAATAAAAAATTACCTAGAAATCAATGAAAATTAACACACGACAACACAGAAGTTATAGGACTCGGCAAAAGCAGCCCTAAGAGGGAAGTTCATAGCACTGCAGACCTACCTCAAGAAGCAAGAAAAATCTCGAATAAACAATCTAACCCTACGCCTAAAAGAACTAGAAGGAGAACAAGAAAATCCCAGAGTAAGCAGAAGGAAGGAAATAATAAAGGTCAGTAGAAATAAATGACATAGAGCCTAAAAAAAACAATATAAAAGATCAATGAAACCACGAGTTGGTTGGAACTCTCTTTGTTTTATGGCTTATAAATAAAATATACTGCAGGTATAAATTATTATTGCTGAATAAATTAGGGTTGGGCCAATATAATATCTTACATTTATATGGTACCTTCCACATTAATAAATGGATTATCTCATCTGCTTTTCACAAAAGGCTTCACATATTTTCCCGTTATACTCAATGCTGTTGATATTCAGAAAGATGAAAGTAGCAGTCTGTAAAATTACTCAGTAAATGGAAGAACTGAGATAAGTACAGCTCTTTTCTTGGGAGAAACTATTATTTTCTGTCAGAGAAATTTAACTTTTATTTTCTCAAGGTCCTAGTATCCTGGTTATTTTTTTTTTAAATCTTTTTTTAACCTCTGAAAAATGGTTAGCTCATGAAAGTACCAACTCTGTTAGTTTAGCAATTATCCAAATACTGATATTGCTTTTGTTGTTAGAATGGTATTTGTTTTGTTTTCAGTAAGGACACAATTCCTTTATTTTAGACTAAAGATACTTTTTTAAAAATCTATTTTTATTTGATGTGGATGTTCACTTAAATAGCATTATGCTCAATAATTTTAATTGTGTATATGAACACTTACCGTTTTGTCAGGTTCTTCCATTCCTTTTTTTTTCCCCCCAGCTCAGTAATGTTCATTATTCTACTTCCTTGGTTTCCAAATTAACTGAAAGTCAGTATGCTGTCAGTCCTTCATATGACACAGTGCAGTGTGGAACATTATTTGAAAGATTAAACAGGTGAGCAGACGTGGAAGGAAACAAACCTTCGTTTGAGTTACTCATTTGGTTTTAATGGACACAGATATTTATGTTTAGGTAAAAATGCAAACAGACCTAAGTAATACTAGTAGAAAAAACCCACTAGAGGGAAAATATAGCATTCAATTGAAATAGCTTTAAGTCATTACTTTCTAATGGGCACACCTGCCTCTTATTTATTTAAAAATATTTTGGGCCAAGGTGTTTTCATGTGTTTTATAATCTCCATGAATTACTAGTGTCTTTTTCTGTATCATAAGCATACTAATTTCTTTCTCATTTATGGCTGCTGATCAGTGCCCCACTTTTATTCTATTGATTTCTGTATATAAACCCTGGTTTATTGTTTTAAATGCATTAAACTTTGAAACTAGTTTGAGTGGCTCTTCGTAACGGTGGTGAAAACCTTCATTCTGTAACCCTAGTCTAGTCTTCCTCATCTGGGTAAATAGCATCACTACTCAGCTGCTTAAACCAAAACTTGTCCTTGATCCCTTCCTCTCTCTCTTAGCTTCCAATATCCATTTCAGCAACAGAGTCTTGCCAATATTGTGTTCTAACAAACTTTAGTATTCTCTACTCATGTTTTCTTCTAAGCTACCACTACCTTTTGCCTGGAGAATTTTAACAGCCTCATAACCGTTCTTTTTGTTCCCTCTTTGTCCTCAGATCCATTTGGTTTACAGCTTTATTAATGTATAATCGACATACTACAAATTGAACTTATTTAAAATGTGCACTTTAAGTTTTGACATATGTCAAGTATAATGAATATAGTGTTCATCATCCTTAGTAGTTTCTTTGGGCATCTTTGTAATTCCTTTCTCTGGCCACTTCACATCCCTTACCCTCATCCCAAGGCAACTACTGATCTGCTTTCTTTTTGTGAGAGGATGTTTTTTGTTTGTTTGTTTTTTCCTTTAACTACCATATTTTACTAGATATAGGCTGGTAATACTACTTATTTTTTTCTTGAGTGGGCTTTGGAAGTTTGTGTTATACAATGAGTGTATCTTTTTTATTAATTTTTTGAATGCATCCTATTTTTTATGTTGTAGAGTTTATTGACTTAAAGTTATTCATAAAATCTCCTTTTTATGCATTTAAAATCTTTAACATCTATAGTGGTGTCTTTTCTCTCATTTCTAATATGGTAAATTGTGTTTTTTCCCTTTTCTCCTTGTCATTCTGAGTAGAGATTTACCAATTTTATTTACCTTCTCACTGAATCATCTCTCAGTTTCACATTTCTTTTCTTTTTAAAAAATATGCTTTTATTGATTGAAGAAAGAGGGAGAGAGAGTAACATCAGTGATGGGAGAGAATCCTCAATCGGCTGCCTCTTGCACGCCCCCTACTGGGTATTGAGCCAGCAACCCAGGCATATGCCCTGACTGGGAATCGAACTGCGACCTACAGGTTCTTGGGTCCATGCTTAATGTTTGAGCCATACTGGCTGGGCCATATATTTCTTTTCTTTCTTTTTTTCGAGTGTGCTCATTAATTTTTTCATTTTTTTTTTAGAGACAGGGAGAGAAAGAGAAGAGGGGGAGAGGGAGGGAGAGAGAGACAGACACTGGTTGCCTCTCATACATACCCCACTGGGACTGAACCAGCAGTGGGGTATGTATGAGAGGAATCGAACCCATTACTTTTTGGTGTATGGGACAGCACTTCATCCAACCGAGCCACACTGGCCAGGGCTCATTGAGTTATTTTTATTGCAACAGTTTTGGTACCCCCAATGCCATATGTTTGCTTTGCATGCTAGAACTCATATACTAAATAAAATGTTAAATCTTAAATTTATGTTAGCATTCAGGGCCCTCTCTGATGCAGGTCTGACGTTTACTTCAACCTCTCTGCTCTTATTCAAATTCACTGCTCACTTTCCACAGCTGACCATGGGCGGCCTCTCCGTAATACAAGGATTTTTCTTTCTTTATTGGATTAGCTCCTTGGCTGGCATTTTTTACAGTGGTGTTGCACCTGTTGATTGCTGTTGGCTGAATAACAGATTTCTTATTTTTCTGTTTTTTATTTCACTGAATTCTGCTTTTACTTTTATTTCCTTTTGTCTGTTTATTTTGCATTTAATTTACTCTTTTTTTCTTGTGGCTTAACATGTGGTCTGTCATAGAAAATATTCCATGTGCACTTGAGGAAAATGTTTTCCTGCTGCTAAGTCCTTGTAGTCCAGTGATTCTTAACCCTTTTTATCTCATGGCACACATAAACTAATTACTAAAATTTGACAGCACACCAAAAATATATTTTTTGCCATTTTGACCAAAAAAAAAAAAAAGTATACATTCACACTGGGTGGCTATTGTGTTGGCTGTTGTCATTTTTTTATTTGACATACTAAAGGAACAGAGGTCAGTGCCCCTGACTAAATCGCCAGGTATTACATGTTTTAAAAATTCTTGTGGCACACTGGTTGAAAATCACTGATCTAGTCCAATATCATTTAAGATCATGGCTTTCTTGTTGATTTTCTGTCTGGATGATCTATCCATTGAAGTCAGTGGGTTTTTAAAGTCCCCTACTCTTGTATTTCTCATGATCTCTTCCGTTATGTCTCTAAGTATTTGCATTATATAATCAGGTGTTCCTACATTGGGTGAGCAGATATTACAAGAGTTGTATCCTTTTGTTAGATTGATTCCTTTATAATTATGAAATGCCCTTCTTTGTCTCTTCTTGTAGCCTTTGTTTTAAAGTCTTTTTTCTGACATAAATATTGCTACCCCAGCTTTTTAAATTTTATTGCATTTGCATGAAATGTTTTTCTTTTTTATCCCTTTACTTTCAGTCTGAGTGTGTCTTTCAATTTGACATAGGTCTCTCCTAGGTACCGTATGTACAGATGTTGGTTTTTAAATCGATTCAGCCACCCTATGTCTTTTCTTTGGAGCACTTAGTCCACTTACAATTAAAGTAATTGTTAATAGGTATGCAGTTATTGCCATTTTATTAATTATTTTCTGGTGGTTTTTGTAGTTCTCTGTTCCTTTCTTATTCTCTTGTGTGTTGATGACTTTCTTTAGTGTTTTGTTGAATTCCTTTCTCTTTAATATCAAACTGAATCCTTTTATCTGTCTGTCCCCATTCCAGAGAATGTGGTGCACTCTCTGGAATCCAGCAGGTGCACCTGTTCATTAAATATTTAATAAGTAACTTTAGAAATAAAATTAGAAGTCAATCAGTTTTAGCAGTTTGTGTTTCTTTTCTAAATTTTTTTGATTAACTCCAATCTCCGGAACAACCTAACCCTTCCAAAATTTGTAGAGAGAGTCAAAGGCAACAAAATCCAGAATATCTTGATTTCTGATTATTTTCTATGATAGCTTTGATTCTTTTATTTAAGTTGCTCAAAATCTAGAATTATGATTTCTGCATTAGAAGGGCATTAATGTTATCTGGTTTAACCTTTTCATCTAATTCATCTTATTTCTTGGTTTTATTACTCTATATGCATTTGTATTTATATTGTTTTTCCCTGGGAACATCAGAGTTGTTTTTATATTCTTGTTAGGTTGAGGAATATCTATTATAACGTCCTCATAACTATTTGATTTAATATTTTAACACTGGGGATAATTTTTCTCTGCATGGTCTTAAAAATATCTTTCTCTGGTTAAGTGGAGCATCAGTGACATGTAGTGGTTGTCTAGGTTATTTGCTACACATTATTACAGAAGATATACATAGGTTGGTCATGTTTTATTTTGTTAATATAACAGTAAATTGAACCACATACTAATTTTTCACATTGAGATAAGTGTAGGTTATTTTTATACTCACTAAGGCCATATAAGACTGCAGTAGACAAATTTCCACCCAAAGAAATACTACTTATTTAAATTTGAAAAATAAAAACATACTCTAGGCAAATGTTAGTAGCTACTCAGTATGTTTTCTAAGACTTTAAGAGTTTCTAGATGAAAATGCTATATACTTTTCTTGCTAAATATGTTTTTATTTACCCCAAAGTCCAGGAAATAGGAATTTCCTCATTGGAAGCCCTGCTATAGTTACAGGTGAAGATTGTGGAAACATGGATGAGAGAAGACACTCAGACTTCATTACTGAAAAACAGTCAGGACAACATATTTGGGAAGAAAATAGAAAAGAGGATTCACGTTTTCTTGAAGCTGTGAACCAGCCAACCCCAAGCCTTCTACCAGAGAATTTTGACTATTTTATTAATGAAAATGTGATCAATTTATTAAGCATAGATCAACAGAGGACAGTGAAACCATTTGACAAGTGTGGTTATGACAGAATGGGAGATATTTGTGCAGTCACCAGTTCTGATAAAATCCATTCCTCTGATAGATGCATTAGAAGTATTTTTCCAGATCCGGAGTTGAATTTTAATAGTTCTAACTTTAATAAAACAAGTTATCCAGAAAAGTGTCAGCCAAAGAAGTACTATCAGAAAGAATACAACAATAATGAAGGAAATACTCCTAGTACATCTTTTGAGAAGGATTGTTACCCAGCCAGCTCTGAAAAGAAAGGTTGGTGTTATATGTGGAAAGTGTAATAGTGTATTGGATTTTTCTGCTTCCAGTTTGTGTGTGTGCATGTGTATACATACATGTGTGTATTTGTGTGTGTGTGTAATTGGAGGAATATGAAATAAAAAATAGAATGACATTCTATTATATGATGTTGTGGACCAGGCAGTGGGTCATACTAACAAGCTTCAAATGAAAAAACAGAAATAGTCTATGCTTAAGTTTTAGTTCAGTGCATACTTTTATTTTTAAAGGAAAATTTGAAAGGGACTACCAAGAGAAGAAGTCACAGATAGAAATCCAGAAATATCCAGTGAACAATAGGTAAGTTTTTAGGTGAAGGTGGGAAATGCATATTGAAGGTTGAACGGATGCTAAGTGGGGCAGGGATATTGCTGAGTTTGGGCAGGCTGCCCTCAGAGAAGGCCTACCAATTGTCAGAATCTTGGTTATATCACCATACTTGAGGGTATGGTGCTCATATTTGCCAGTGCAAAAGTATCTTTTAATCTGAATTTTGATGTTAATTAGATTTGAGGAGACTGACTTATGTGTTCAAGAAACTTCTCTATCTCCAGAATATCATTTTATTAATTTACAGTAAGAAATAGAAGGATTACATGTATAGGAATGCTTACTGGCATGATAAGCCTATTTTCTAACTTTTGGTAGCTCTCCATGGGAAGGGTGCTTGGTTATTATGGAATCAGAACAAGGAAGTAATAGAATTTAAATGTTAATGGCATAAGAAAGCATATCAATAGTCTATGACACTGCAGTTATAGGTAATTAAAACTTGTAGTTTCAGAATAGTCCTAACTTTCTTGGTAATAATTGTAATTTAGTCCAATGTTGCTAATGGAAAATAATGAACTAGAATAGATTTTTATTTTGGAAGTATTTTCTTACGGCTAGGGTTGGCACAAGAAATTAATTAAAACTTAGATTTACAACTTATTTAATAAAGTCAACAAATTAGATTCTTTGTCAAATCTCCAAATATCCAGAAACTTATGAATGGAAAACAGCATGTAAGGCTTTGAATTTTAAAATGTACTTTATGAAAATGATTTATGTCTTGGTTCCTAAACCTGGCCTCAGACCCACATCACGTGAGGGGGTGATATTAAATACAAAACAGCAAGTTTGATCTACACATAATAAATAGACTCCTTAGGATGGAGCTTATAAATATTTTTTTTAAAGTTTCCCTTATAATTCTGATCCACAGCCAACTTTGGGAACCATAGTTTAGGACAATAATTTTCCAAGAGAATAAAGCAACTTCAGTACTGTCTTTTTCATGACTCTTAGGAGTAATAGCCCTTTGGAGGAATTGCGTTCTAAGACATTATGGGACTTTGGACTTGGTGAGGTAACGTACATCTTACATTATCTTTCGAATGAATCCACTCATATTACTGTGTTATATTTAAGTATTTGCCATTTACTTTGATTTAAGATTAGCTTTTATCAAAAACTTTTTTTGTAGGCTCTTTTTCCTGTATTTTCTTACTCTGAGGAAATTATAGCTTAGATCTGGAAATAAAATCAATACCTTTTCAGAAACTGTAATGTGCTTTATTTGAGACAGACCAATTTAGGTACACTTAAAATTCTTTTAGTAAATCCTATAAAATTTATTACAAGATGGAAATGCTACAGGGGGACATGGTTATACATTTAGGAATACTGAAACATCTATAAACATTTGTTATGTGAGTTTTAAGCCTTGCTCATAAGAAGGGTGTGTGATTGTGGCAACTGTTCCGGCCATTGTGCTAGGAACTTTATGTACTTTATTCTACAAGAGCCTGATCCTGTGAAGTGTTCACAGCATAAGAGACTCAAGTTCAAAGAGATTAAATAACTTGTTCAGGGTCACACACTGGAGCCAGGATTCAAACTCTTACCTGACTTTAAATTTTTAACTAACTGTTTTTGTTTTTTATCTTCAGTAAATATGCATTAAGTAGATTATGAATTCACTTTAATAGATAGTTATTGAGTGTCTCTTATTCTAGACATTGGGAATATAGTGGTGAAAAAATTTTTCTCATGAAGCTTATGCACTAGAGTCTGTGAGGTACAGAGAGGAACAGACGGGAAACCTATCTTTTTTTTTTTTTTTTAAATCCTCACCTGAGGATATTTCCCATTGCTTTTAGATAGAGTGGAAGGGAGGGAGGGAAAGGAGGGGAAGAGAGGGAGGAGGGGAGGAGGAGGAAGAAAAAGAAAGAGAGAGAAACATTGATTGGTTGCCTTCCGTATGCACCCTGATTGACTGGGAACAACCTGCAACCCAGGTACATGCCCTTGATTGGGAATCAACCCATGACCCTTTGGTGCACGGGCCGACACTCTAACCACTGAGACACACCGGCCAGGGCTGGCACCTGTCTTTAAGAAATTATAATATAGTAGCTAGACAGAAACAGAAAACTAATGCATTTAGATAAAGCGCTCCAATTGGAGTTTGTACAAAAGGGATTGGGAGCCTAGTAAAAGACACTTCTAGATTTCATGGGTAGTCGGAGGAAGATGTGATAGAGGAGAAAACTTTTGATTTGGGTATTAATTAATAAGCTTACCAAATGGACAAAATGCTTTCATCCTATGAAGAAGGAGCAACATAGATACTAACTAAAATGTGAGAGGGTATAGCTTGTTTTAGAAACTGCAACTAGTTTTAATTTAGTTATTGTTGTTACTTCCGTAGTACAAATTACAAGGTGTTGGGGGGCAAGAAATAATTTTGGACAATATAAAGAGCCAGGTTATAAAAGGCCTTGTATAACATGTAATAGTTTAATTTCCTATGACTAAACAGAAAGAAAGACTGAAAAAATTTTAGCAGAGAAGTATGAAGACCTCAGTCTATTGAAAAGTGTCTGGCAACAGTGAGGAGAGATTTTCTGTCTGGATGATCTAGCCATTGATGAAAGTGGAGTATTAAAGTCTCCTATTATTGTATTGCTGTCTGTTTCTCCATTTAGGTCTTCTGGTATTTCCTTTATATTTTTAGGTTCTCCTATGTTGGGTGCATAAATATTTACAAATGCATATCCTCTTGCTGGATTCATACCTTTTTCATTATATAATGTTCTTCTTTGTCTCTTATTACAGTCTTTGCCTTAAAAACTATTTTGTCTTATATACATATAGGTATCTCAGCTTTCTTTTGGCTTCTGTATGTATAGAATATCTTTTTCCATCCCTTCACTTTTAGGCCATCTGTGTCCTTATGTCTGAAGTAAGTCTCTTGTAGGCAGCATCTAGATGAATCTTGTTTTTGTTTCTTTTTAATTCAGCCATTCTGTATCTTTGGGAGAATTGAGATCATTTACATTTAAAGTAATTATTGATAGGTATGACTTATTGCCATTTTGTTTATTGCTTTCTGGTTATTTTTATCATGCCTTTGTTACTTTTATTTGCTCTCTTTTTTGTTTGATGATTTTCTTTTAGCGGTATGCTTTATATTTCTTTATCTTTTGTATATCTACTATTGAGTTTTGCTTTGTGTTTACCATGAGGCTTATATAAAACAACATATTTATAGCAGTCTATTTTAAGTTGGTAAAAACAAGTCACATGCATTCTAAAGCTCTACATTTTTACTCCCCTCACATTTTATATTTTGATGTCACAACTTATATCTTTTAATCTTATGTATCTATTAATAAATTAGCATATTTTTACTACTTTTGTCTTTTAACCTTCATACTAGCTTTATAAATGATTAACCCACCACCTTTACAATTTAGGTTATTTTGAATTTTACAATAAATTTACCTTTACCAGTGAAATTTATACTTTTACATATTTTCCTGTTACTAAAATGTGCCCTTTTCTTTTGGCTTAAGGAGGTTTCTTTAGCATTTCTTGTAAGGCCGGTCTAGTGGTGATGAACTCCTTTAACTTTTGCTTCTATAGAAAACTCTTTATCTCGCTTTCTGTTCTGATGGACAACTTTGCTGGGTAGAATATTCTTGTTTGGCACTTGTTTCTTTTAGCATTTTGAATATATTATGTCATTACCTTCTGGCCTTGAAAGTCTCTGGTGAAAAATCTGCTTATAGTCCTATGAGGATTTCCTTGTACATACCAACTTGCTTTCCTCTTGCTGCTTTTAAGATTTTCTCCTTGTCTTTAATTATAATGTGTCTTGGTGAGGGCCTCTTTGGGTACATCTTATTTGTAACTCTATAAGCCTCCTGGACCTGGATGTCTGTTTCCTTCCCTAGGTTAGGGAAGTTTTCAGCCATAATTTCTTTATATAAGTTTTCTGGCCCTTTGTCTCCTTCTACTCCTTTTGGGACCCCTATAATGTAAATGTTAGTCCACTTGATATTAGTCCATAAGTTCTGTACACTACCTTTACTTTTTTCTTTCTTTTTGTTCTTGCTCCTCTGACTGCATAAATTTCAGTGGCATTTCTTTAAGTCTTTTTATCCTTTCTTCAGCTTCACTTAGTCTTCTATTGAACCCTTCTGTTTTATGTTTCAGTTCATTTATTGTATTCTTGAGCTCTGTGATTTCTGTTTGGTATTCTCTTATGTTTTCTATCTCTTGATTGTAATTCTCACTAAGTTTGTGTGTTGGTCTCCTGATCTGGGCGAGCATCTTTATTTTGAACTCTTATCAGGTAAATTACTTTATCTTATTAAGGTTTTTTTCCAAAGCTTTATATTGTTCTTTTGTTTGGAACATGTTCTTAATGTTTCTTCATTTTCCTTTACTTTCTTAGTTAGTTTCTGTGCATTCGGTAAAACAGCCAACTCTCCTAATCTTGAAGGATTGGCCGTGTGTAGGAAATAAACTTTAAGTTTCAACCTTTCCCTGCCTCTTGGTTTTCTCTCGAACCTTTGTGTTGGTCCAGGCAGCCTACTTTATTTTTAGTGGCTTTTAGTAGTTGAGGATGTGCCAAAATCTGCCAGTGTCTCAGTATTGAGGATCCTAGGCAGAACCTACATTCAGTCTGATGGGAAACCATACTCTCAGGAATATAGATGCGTATTGTTTTTAAGTATGCAAATATGCTTTGAGATGAGCAGTTCTGTCTGCTTCCTCTGCATTGACTCCTGGTGTGACTACCAGTTAAGAACTATTTCTTTGTTTGCTACCATCCCCTTGAACCTGTGAACACAAGCTCTGCTGGCCACCAGAGCCAGGCTATCAAGAAATGTGTCTTCTGGCCAACAGCTGCAAAAACTGGATGCCAGCTATGTGCACAAGTTCCTTTTCTGGAGACACTGGTGATTTGGGGAGAGGCAGAGGGAGAGCATGAAGAAGGCATCTGCTGGCCTTTCCAGTCCCTGGAGAGGATTGCAATTGACTCCTAGATGAATGTTTAATTAGAAGCCTACGTCTCAGGCTACAGGTATGAAGATACACTAATAAGCCTCTTCCACAGAACAACTGGGGGTCTGTTTCAGTCTCTGTGCTGAGCCTTGAGGGGTAGCTATTAAGAACTCTTCTTCTGTTTGTTACAGTTCTGTGGGACCCATGAATGTAAGCCCCATTGGCTACCAGAGCCAAGTGATCAAGGAGTGTTCCCTGGTCAGCAGCCACAAAAACCGGGGCACCAGACATACACACAAGCTCCTTTTTGGGAAATACTGGCAACCTTGAGCTAGGTAGGGGCAGAGTGCAAAAATAGCTCCCAGACTCCCAAGATGTTTAGAGAGGATTACAGTTGGCCCTTAGATATAGGATTAATTAGAAACCTACCTGTTAGACTATAGCTGTGAAGATAAGCTAATAGGCTCTTTCATAGAAAAACTGGGTATGTCAGTGAGCTGCCTCTGTGTTAGGCTTTGGGATATAGCTAGGGTGAGCCTGGTTGAGCCCTTTAAGAATTGTTTCTCAGTTTGCTATAGCTTGTGGGTCTTGTGGACACAAACCCTGTTGGCTTTCAAAGCTTGATGTTTTGGGGGCTCTTCTCTCAGGTGCAGGTCTTAAAAATTCAAGTACCAGATGTGAGGTCCAAACTGCTCCTCAGGTCGAAGCTTGGAGTTGTGGGTTCCCTTCCAGTTGTGGATTGCTATGCCCTGAGGGGGGGGTATGGTGAAATTGTGTCAGATTCTCCTACCCATTTTGATGTGGGTTTTTTATCGTTTGCTTGATGTGTAGGAAGTGTCTCACAGCTAGATTTTGGGTTTCTTTCAGAGGAAATTGTTCCATATGTAGCTCTAGATTCGGTGTGTTCGTGGGAGGAGGTGAGTTCACGATCCTCCTACATCAACATCTTGAACTGGAACATACTTTAATTTTAAAGTAGGAGAGGAAAAAGTTTAAATATGACTGTTTACATGGTAATTTCTTCACTGGAGAAATGAAGAGACATAGAAGAACTTCAGATTCAAAGGAGTGGGGATGTCACACTAGGAAACCTGATCAAGGTGGGAAAAAAATAACAGTTCTACATAAATGGTAAACATAACATGTAAGGAATGAAACCTTGTCCTGGCTGGTGTGGCTTAGCAGTTAGAGATCCACCTGTGCACCAAAGGGTCTCAGGTTCGATTACTGGTCAAGGGCATGTACTTGGGTTGTGGGTTTGCTCCCCAGCCCTGGTTGGGGTGTGTGCAGGAGGCAACCCCTGATGTGTCTCTCTCACATCAATATTTTTCTTTTTCTCTCCCTCCTCCCTCCCCCCCTCTCTAAAAATCATTGGATCCTTGAGTGAGGATTTAAAAAAAAAGAAATGAGACCTGCTTAGCAATTAATATATTAAATATGAAGGGGTGATTTTTCTTATCAAGATTTAAAGAATAATACATTGAGAAGAAAAAATAATCTATATATTTTTTTAAAAACACGTAAAACATAATATAGGTTAAAATAAAAGATAGCAAAAGGTACACATAAAGAAAGTATATAGTATTGGAACAAGGACTGTATAAATGCCTATTCAGAAAAGATACGATACAGAGTTACTGATCATACCAGTTATGAAATCCTGCTGGACAGGCAGTGTGAAGGCGTGCTGGCCTAGAGGATAGAGGCATTCCTTGAGCAATTCAGTTTCTTCTCTTTAGGACGCTGTTCTTTGTCTGTTATCCTCTACCATCAGATCTGAAGTGGGTACAAGAGTGTGTGCCAGCTTTTGGAGTCTGTCTAGCTTTCTCAGCTTGTGTGTTCTTGCTGCAAGTTTGAGGCTTGAATTTTTTTTTTAAAGTTTAACATATAAGACCGAGAATGGTTGAATAGTGGGGTTAGAGAAAAGACTCTGCTGCATAAAGTTATTTAGGGCCTCAAGTTGGTCGGGACTCTATCTTTAACTGGTGGTTTCCACATTTGTAGTGTATGCTGGTATCAGATAGCAGGAGGGAAGAGGAAATGTAGGATTGTAGAGGATATTTTTATGGGCCAAACTGGCAGTGGTGTCCACCACTTCTGCCTATGACCAGCACTTAAATTACATGCCCAAACCAACTCCAAGGGACAGTAGGAAACATAGTCTAGTTGTATACCTGAGCGGAAAGGGAAACTGCTTTGGTTGCAGCCAGACAGTTTCTCCTTCATCCCACTTATCTGCCTATCTAAAACTCTTATCTCACCAACAAAGGATGTATATTATCTGTAAGTCCATGGTACATATACGAACATAATTCATATAGAAGCCATAAAGCCTAAGAGGTTTATCTAAGGAGTGATTCATAGCCACATTCTCTAATAAAATTTCACCAAATTAGAAATCACCATCAACAACAAATGATGCTTAACCACTCTTACCTTCTTTGAAATTAAGGAATACTCTGGGTTAAAAAAAAAAAAGAATGAAAATAAGTTACAAATTATATAGAAATTGAAATTATATAGAAAACCAATAGTGTGTTCTGCAGAAAATTTATACCTCTAAAAGCTTTTATTTAAAAATTCTGAAAATAAATGAACTGTTATCCAATTTAAGAAATTGAAAAGGAAATAAAAGTAAATCTCCAAATTGCTTAATATCTTTGTCTTTTAAAAAAAATGTGTTTTTATTGATTTTTAGAGAGAGGAAAGGAGAGAGATAGAGAGATAGAAACATCCATGAGAAAGAAACATTATCGATTGGCTGCCTCCTGCATTCCCCCCCCCCCCC